TATGAGTACTTCAGACTGGACTGGATTTTTATGAGTACTTCAGACTGAACTGGATTTTTATGATTACTTCAGACTGGACTGGATTTTTAAGAGTACTTCAGACTGGACTGGATTTGGGTTTGTGGGAATCTGTGTTTCTGTTGGCTCTTTCACATTAAAGTTCAGTCCATGAACTGAATTGTGCTGGCTATTCATAAATCTCAGATGGAGCTGACCACATCCTGCAGAGACCTGAGCTTACAGGAAGGAAGAGAGCATCACGGAACCAAACGAGGGATGTGTTGATGTAGAGTGTGACATATTAAATATGTGACCAACGTTTCCCACATTTACAAACATGAATTCAGTATTTAATTTAAAAAAATTGTTAACCACAAAAAGGACTAAGTTGGGGCAGCACAATGGTGCAGTTGGTAAAGCTGTTGCCACTCAGCGAGAAGATCGTCAGATCAAATCTCGACCCGGGATCTTTCTGGGTGGAGTATGCAAGTTCTATCAATGCATGAATGGGTTTTCTCCAGGTACTCTGGCTTCTATGGGGCGGCTGTGGCTGAGTGGTTAGAACAGTCGTCCTCCAATGCGAGAGTTGAGGGGTCAAATCCACCAGCATTCACATGCTGAAGTGTCCCTGGGCAAGACACTGTACACCTCATAGCCTCTGATACGTGTCCCATCAGTGTATGAATGTGATCTAAAGGTCTGATTAGTCTCTTTAGAATGATTTGTTCAATTATCTTTGTAGAGATCTAGTAGAGTGCTGTATGAATGGGTAAATGAGGCACAGATTTTAGTGTAAAGTGCTTTGAGTATCTTGATCAGATAGAAAGGCGCTATATAAGTACAGTCCATTTACCCTTCCTCCCACAGACCAAAAACATGCATGTTAGACTGATTGGTAACTATAAATTGTCTCTAGGTGTGAGTGAGAGAGTGAATGGTTGTATGCCTCATTTGTCTTTATGTGTCCCTGTGATGGACTGGAGACCTGTCCAGGGTGTTCCTCACCTCTCACACAGTGACTGCTGGACATGGCACCAGTGACCCTCGCGACTCAAAATGGAAGAAGTGGGTAAAGATAATGGATGGAAAGATGGATGAATGGATGGATGGATGGATGGATGGATGGATGGATGGAATACTAAGTTGACTGGCTTTGTTTGTTGTTGTTTAATTCTACGACTGGGTGGTGGACAGACCAGATGTTGTCCCTTCATCACATTGATCCACAAAGTCAGCTAACCTTTTAGCATATCAATCATTTCACCTGTTACTACCTCACGTCATGGCACATTGGCCCATCAGGGGTGGGTTGGCTTCAATCCCCATCACCACCTCTATCCAATCTGAAATCTGAGTCTGAGTTGTGGTTTGAAGTGTTTAAAGGAGCTTACCATATCACGTTCATAAAATTAATGCATATAAAAGTGTTTTTGTCTCTCAGCTGCTCTGATGTGTTTAGTTTGTTTAAATTTTGTGTTGGTTTCAGACTATCTGGACCTTGAGGACCTGACTTCTTGGATCAGGATGGGCCAGGACCTTACAGAGAACCCGACTTCTTGTGGTTTGCTCGGTCATGGTAGCACTAACTTCAGTAGAAACAAATGATTTGTTTTAGCTCATTAATTGATCTCAGAGTACTTTAGTCTTTATACAGACCAGAGTTTGACACCAGGTGTGTCACACTCACTTACAAAAGGGGGCCAAAATTAAAAACTCAGTTCAAACAAAGGCCAGTTTCGGTGAATACATGAAGTCCAGTCTGATACCTGACATCTTTTTTGATTGTAAGTTCCTCAACAATATTTTAACTGGTCTCATGTGACCTTCTCTGTTGCTCTTTCCACATCAGAATCAAAGATTACTGACATGAAGTTTGCACTAAATAAAGTTTGCTCAGTTTTTAAAACACAATAAGAGACAATTAAAATATTTTGCATTTAATATCTCATTGTGGGGCCAGAGAGGATGTTTACAAGGACCATATTTGGCCCTTGAGTTTGACACGTGCCGCAAACTAAAGGTTTCTACGACGGAGCGGTCCATCACATGGTGCCGTTCAACCAAGACGACTGACTCTGTCTGTCCATCAGGTTGATGCAGCTCAGGTTTACAGATAGAACAAGGCTGTCTTGTTTGAGCTGTGTTGGGTTCTGTTCTGGTTCCTGCTGGACCTGCTCCAGGTTTGGGTTTTCTCAAATGACACACAGTCCCACAGAGTGCACAAAGCAGAGTAAAACCTCTGCATGCATTTTGTGACGTCTGAATCTGCAGCTTGTTTCTTGTTGTCTGTTTAAAATAGTTCTGGTTCTGCAAAGATCAAGAGATCCGGTCCACCCCAAGTCCTCATCTTTCTCGTCTTCTTCACTCTGTTGTTTTAGCGTGACGTTCTGTCAGACTTCCAGTCAGAGCAGCGCCGGCTTCCTGACGTGTCGATCAGGTCAAAAAAGGCTTTGGAGAGAGTTCAGCTTGTGTTGTGATCAGGCCATCAGGACACCTGGGGGTAGAGCAGGTCAGGCAGGTGAGGTTGTGCACACAAACAAACAATAATCCAAACAACAAACAACAATGCTAAAGGAGACTCTGTGTTTCCACGACAGTTATTAGTCGTTCAGGAGGACTCCAAGGACTTGTAATAATTTGTTGCTCTGTGGTTGGTTTTAGTCATTTTTATTTATTTAGTCAGTTTCAGAGTATTCAGAATCTGGGCTCTCCCTTAGAGATAGGGTGAGAAGCTCGATCATCCGGGAGGGACTCAGAGTAGAGCCGCTGCTTCTCCACGTCGAGAGGAGCCAGTTGAGGTGGCTCGGGCATCTGTTTAGGATGCCTCCTGGTTGCCTCCCTGGTGAGGTGTTCCGGACACGTCCCACCGGGAGGAGACCCAGAGGAAGACCCAGGACACACTGGAGGGACTATGTTTCTCGGCTGGCCTGGGAACGCCTCGGGATTCCCCCGGAGGAGGTGGCCCAAGTGGCTGGGGAGAGGGAAGTTTGGGCCTCCCTACTTAAGCTTCTACCCCCACGACCCGACCCCAGATAAGCGGAAGAAAATGGATGGATGGACAGAGTATTCAGCAAACTGTGTGGGGTGTTCTGTTTTTAATAAACAGACATAAACTATTTTGACCTCTTCTGTAAAACCATAGACGTGAAAGAGTGAAGACTTTCTGTTTGCATGACTGCAAATTCACTTTATTACACGACTCATTGTCTAAAAACAGAAGGCTGTCTCTCTGCTTTGTTTAAAACAGACTTCATAAGTTATCAAGAAGTTTGGATTTTAAAATCTTATTTGTTGGACCATTGTTATCAAAAACCTTTAATAAATGGACAAAGAATCAAGGATTTATTCTTCTTCTTTCTGCTTTGTCCTCTTCAGGGTCTCCACACCAAGTCATCGTCCTCCATCTCTGTCCTCTGCATCCTCTGTCCACACTCCAACTACCTCCATGTCCTCTTTAACTGCATCCATATGTCTCCTCTTTGTCTTTTTCCTGGCAGCTACATTTCTAACATCCTTCTGCCAGTATACCCACTGTCCCTCCTCTGGACATGTCCAAACCACTGTCCCTCCTCTGGCCATGTCCAAACCACTGTCCCTCCTCTGGACATGTTCAAAAACCTCAGTCCCTTCTCTGGACTTGTATAAACCATTTCAGTCTGGTCTCTCTAACTTTATCTCCCAGTTGTTCAATCTGTGCTGTACCTCTGATGATCTCATTCCTAATGTTCTCCATCCTTGTCACTCCTAAGGAGAACCTCAACAGCTTCATTTCGACCACTTCCAGTTCTATTTCCTGTCTTTTTGTTCATGTCTCTGTCTCACCACTGTCTTGTAAACTTTTCCTTTGACCTTTGCTGACACCTTTTTTTGTCACAAATCACTCCTGAAACTTTTCTCCATCCTCTCCATCCTGCCTGGACTATCTTCTTCATCTCTTTATCACATTCCACATTTTCCTGGACATCCATCCATCTTTTACTGCTCATTCGTAGTCGGGTCACAGAGGCAACAGGTCCAGGAGAGAAACCCAGACATACCTCTCCCCAGCAACACTTCTCAGCTCATTCTGGGGGACCCAGAGACATTCCCAGGTGTGAGAACATACTTTGTACACCATCACTCCAGTGACTTCTGCATGACCTCCTACCAGTGGGACATGCCCAGAAAACCTCTAAAGGAAGGCGTCCGTGAGGCATCCTAATCAAACGCCCGAACCATCTCAACTGATGGAAGGAAGGAAGCCGAAGGAAGCCCATTTGTATCAGGATCTCAGTCTTTTGGTCATGAGCCAAACCTCATGACCACAGGTGAGGGTCATAATGTAGACAGACCAGTAAATCGAGACCTTTGCCTGTCGACTCAACTCTTTCTTCACCATGACTGACCAATACAATGCCCTCATTACTGAGGATGAGGCCCCAATCCATTGATCCATGTCAATTCAATTCAATTCAGTTTATTTATATAGCGCCAAATCACAACAAAGTTGTCTCAGGGCACTTTACAGGAACATTCACAAACATAAAAGCCAATTAGTAAAGTTCTCTATCTAAGGAATCCAGCAGACAAGTCCAGACATGTCCCGCTCCATCCTACCATCACTTGTGAACAAGACACTTGAACTCCTTAGTTTTCCTAGAAAACAGAAACTAAGTGAAGTCCTTCACCTTGGTGATCTTTCTTCTAAAAATGACTTTGTGGCTCAATGGTTTATTCAAGAAAACTATAGCTTGTAGTTATACCTGAAGAAAGTCTGACCTTTAGCAGCTATATGAAGAACAGCTATCAGAAGAACTGATGTGACAGCACTGAATAAAAACATTGTGTTTGAGTTGTATTCATGCTTGTTTTTCTGCCTTAAACTCAAGTTTTGTTACTGAAGTTGATCAGAAACTGATTAGTCTGAGTTCTGAGAAAAATGCTCCCATCATTAAAGCATTAAAGGAGCAGGGAGTAACAGCGCCTCCTGCTGCTTCCCTTAGAGGTTTGAAGATTTTAAAAAAGAACCTGATGTGAGTTAACCAAACATCCCATAATGTTGTTTGGTTCTGAGGCGTGAAGTACCTCCTGCCACCTCATGGGCCGCTCTTCTGATACAAACTCCCATGAATCATATTTAAAGGTGTAACTAAATCACCGCTACAGTCGTAAAGGTTGAAGACTTCTTGTTTTGCTGTTTGTTAAAACTTTGCCTCATTACATTCTCCCAGAATCCTTCCTCCTCCACCTCTTCATCCTCACCTCCACAATGTGCTCGTCCTGAAACCAAGAACCAACAGAAACCTGCGTTAGTGACCTGGTCCTGGACCCTGACAGGGTTTAGGGTCAGGTTTGGAAATCAAACTCACCTCTTCTTCTTGTGAGGCATTCAGGAGCATTTGTCGCTGCTCGTGGTGGGCATGCACACGATGCTCCTGATGTTCTTTGGTCAGAGCTTTTTGAGCGACTTCTCGCTCATGCTCCCTCCTCTCTGCCAGGTGCTTCAGCAGCTCTGCCTCCAGACACTAGAGGGAGCAAACAAAACCCACATTATTTTTACTGGTAAACCACAGTGGAGTGGTGAACTGGTGTGCTTGCTTTGCCAGCCAAACATAGAAACGATGTTTGTAGCATAAAAACAACATGTTATTTACCATTGTTACATTTGACAGCATTCTTCATAAATCGTTAAATAATCAGGAAAAACCATTTGATATAAAATTCTGTAAATTAAATTTTACTCCTTGGGCAGAAGTACTGTTTGATATTTATTGAAGTGATTTGGATACCACTTTACAATAGGGCTCCCCTTATAGATGGTTAATAAATAGTTTATAGATATTAGATACATTATTAATTCCTCTGTAAACACATTATAAATCATTAATAACTGCTTATTAGGTATTAATCAGGGGTGACAAAGAGACAAAACTGACCATTTTCTTGCCAAATGTGTTCACCTATATATTTCATCTAGTTGTTATATTAAACATTTCAGTCTAAGTTACTACCTTGTAAGCACAATAAGCATTTGTAAACCTAATATTTTAGGATATTAGTTGTAGATACTTACAATGCAGTGATAAAGTACAATATTATAAATACGTTTACAAACGTAGGTAAACGTAGATGTTTAACAATCCATTAAAATGCAAGAAATCACATCTACTTTAGTCAAAATTTTCTGGGGGAGGACCCCCAGACCCACCCCGTCCCCACCGGCCTGCTACTATTTGCATTCTGGCATTGATCAATTTACAAATTAAGCCAGAGGAGGGGGGCGGGCAAATGTGGCCCTTGGACAATCGCCATCCAGCCTCCAATATGAAAACCTGCATTGTATTAATAAAAGTTAAGGAAGTTTAAATTGAACGCGTTCGACAAATACATTAAAAATATTTGGATTAAGACAGGCTGAAACTTTTTTTTAAGTTATTGCATTTCTAGAACTAAACTGAACTTTAAAGTCCCCTTAAACAAAATACATACTAACCAACATATTGTCACAAGAGCCAGTCAACAGAAAGTATGTGCCATATTCCTGAAGAGTATTGAGGAGACATATTTTTATGAAGCATGCTAACTAGCAGTGCTATTGCATAAGAAGGCTTTTAAAAAGCTTCCAGATTATCTGTCTTAAAGACAATTTATTTTCCAACTCAATATGATCCTTTAATTTCCTAAATATCTTGATTAGTCTGGAAAATTGTGTTGCCCACCCCTGCCCTACAATTTACTGCTGCCCTGTTGGTTCATACCTTCCTCCTCTCCTGAGCAGCATCTAGTTTCTTCTGGATTTCCTCCAGTGATGGTTTCTGGCGAGGTGGCGTGGTGGCCCTCAACTCAGGGCCCCCATCAAAGGTAGGGGGCTTCAGGATGACCTCAAAAGCCTGGCCACTTGCTCTTTTGCTCAGCTCAATGACCTCCATGTCTCGGATGTTACACAGGTTCAGGTCCACGATGCCTGCAAGATAAGCATTAGCTTCAGTAAGTCAGGGCTGCTTCTCAAAGAGCTTCTAACAAAAAACCCTGGCTCCACGATTGCTCGTGATGGTGGATAAAGTTGCTCCCTCTACTTGCCAGGATCCAACACTACGGTCCCATAGACAAGCAAAAAAAATAAAAAATTGGCGTCCATTCTTCTCAACAGTGTAACTCCTACCCACTTTACCAAAAACATTAAGGCTCGCTTCCATTCCCCATTCAGTTCTAGTTCATAAAAACACTCTTCTCGAAAACATTCCCTATTCAAATTCCTCAGCGATGGGAGACACTGACGTGCTGCTTGTTCATTTTGGATCTATTTTTCTTTGCATGTTTAAGTCTCTGTTGCGTTTCAAAGAGCTTGTCTACAACAACATGATCAGAAACATCCTCATGTCCTGTATGGAAACAAGGACAACCGAGGTGGACCGAGCTCAGGTAAGACTTTTGAGAAGACAGTAAAGTAGCACTGTGTCATCAAACGGTTGCAACAGTGCACAACACTGACAACCATGTAACAAAGTGTGGGTAATGAGTCTTTGTCAGAAAATAACTCTACAGGTGAGGCCTTGGTTTCAAGGTTTTTAAGGGAACTCGACCCTTTAGTGTCGTAGATGGACGTTTGTTGAAGCCTTGAACCCTAAACATGTCCATGTGGGACCATCAGTCGTCCTAACAATGAGGTTGCTGCTTCAATTCAAGTCTTGCAATAAACTCTGGTCCTTAGACAGGACTGCTGAGGTCACCGTCATCAGGTCTTCCCTCTCTGGTGTACTTTTATTATTTTCTTTGATCTGTTCTTTGAAATTTGGAAACCCAGTAGGTCCAGTGGATCAGCACATTACCAGGGTTAACTCCAGATCTAATTGTGTGAATGTTTATGAATCATTCACTCTATTGTGATCCATTTGTCTTCTGTACATTTTTCAGCGCAATTCTTGGCCCGCAGTTTTCAAGCTATTTTAACAAAACATAAATCAAAATGTTCAGCTCTTTTAGAACAATCCTGCTATGACTTTTGGTATTGGTGCAACTTTAGCTTTTTGAAAATTAGTCTTTTCTGTAATTTTTTTCTAAGAGAAAATGAATTGAGCTAATTTTACATCCTTCAAATCTTTAGATCTGTTTAAAACCTTTTACTGCTCCTTTCACATTTTGTTCAGGCTCAGCTTCTTTCAGCTTCCTTGTGCAAACAATGAAAAAAACAATAATAATTCAGCTACTTTCAGCTGTTTTGTGCTCCTTTCAGCTTCTTTCTGCAAATTTCAGCTTTTTCTGCTATTTCAGCTACTATTTAGCTGTTTTATGCTAATTTTAGCATTTTCAACTAATTCCACATGTTTTTGCACTCATTTCATCTTTTGTCTACCTATTTCATCAAAAATGTGCTCTGTCCACTTTGTACAGGCAATTTAAGCTTCTTTCAGCTTTTTTTTAGCTACTTTTCAGCTGGTATTTTTCTCATTTCAGCTTTTTTCAGATAATACCCACTTCTGTGTGCTCATTTCAGCTTCTTTTAGCCTAAATGGACAAACGTGTGTTCTTTCTGCTTACGTTTGCTAATTTGAGCTTGTTTGACTTTTTCATCTAGTACTTTTTAGCACTTTAAGCTAATTTCAGCTGTTTTCAGATAAATTCAAGTTGTTTGTGTTCATTTCTGCTACTTTCATCCTGATTAATTTATTTTTGCTATTTTCAGCTTATGCTCCTTTCAGCTTATTTCTGCTAGCTTCAGCTTTTTCTGCTATTTCAGCTACTGTAGCTGTTTTTGTGCTAAACTTTGCTTTTTCAGCTAATTCCACATTTTTAGCTCATTTCAGCTTGTTCCACTTCCCTCTGCTAGTTTCAGCTTCTTTCTGCCTTTTCAGCTACTGTTCAGCAAAAAAAAAATTATAATAATTTCTGGTTTTAGCTAATTTACTCATCTTTGTGCTCATTTCTGCTTATTTAAACCTAATTCAGCCAACATGTGTTCTGTCTGCTTTCTTCTGCTAACTTGAGCTTGTTGTTTCATTTCAGCTACATTTCAGCATGTTAATTTCAGATAACTTCAGCTAATTTCAGCTGTTTTTCAGCAAGTTTTCCAGCAATAAGCATTCACACTACATTTTCGCAGGGAATGCGATTTGTCTAGTTTCAATATGAGCTGAGAACAAAATAAAATTACAGTAGAGCATCTTCTGACCTTCCTTCTTGTCAGCTCTGGGTTCTCTGGGTTCAGGCAGAATGCAGGAACAGAAGAAGGCCGCCAGGGGGAGCTCTCTCAGTTTCTCTCTGTATGCTGGAACATTGAGGAAACAGCAGATTAAAGAGGAGCCGAGGAGCAGATCTCATCTTGTCAGCTGCACAGAGAACTTCTTACCTGTCAGAGTCATTCTGGGACTGTTCTTCATCCACGACCCGGTGCTGAGGTAGGATCTGGTCATGAGGAAGACAACAAACAGATCAGTGGATCCAGAAGAACCAGGGTCTGAAATCACCTCCAGAAGAATTCTGCAGCACCAAACAGCATGCCACTGAGCAAAGGAGCCCAGACAGAACCAGAACCATGAGGGTCCAGAACCAGAACCATCATGGTCCATCTGAACAGAGGAACCCAGACAGAACCAGAATCATCAGAATCCAGAACCACCAGGGTCCATCCGAACAGAGGAACACAGACAGAACCAGAACCATCAGAGTTCCTCTGAGGGTTGAAAGTCACTCAGTCAGCAGGTCTTAAATGGTTCTGATCCCGTTTTGAGCTCATGGGAGTTAGCTTGATCAGCAGAATGAACTCATTCATTCAAAGTGAATGGATGATCCTCAGAGAGATGATATGCTGTTGGACCACGAGTACAGCTGCATGACAGAAAACAGAACTGGTCCAGAACCGAGGAACAATGAACAAAGTTTAGCTCCCAAAGAGATTCAAAATAAAGACACACAGTTCTGCCCCCCCCCCCCCCAACACACACACACACACACAAGATCTAGGTGTCCTCAACCAGAGCCACCAGGACGATTCCTGATGTTCTCCACCCAGATGTTCCAAATCTGAGACCATCATGTTCAGATGTTCTGGTTCTGCTCCATCACAATAAATAAATAAATAAAACATCCAGAAAACACAAAAGAACTCTAGAAACAACAAGACCACACAAACTGTGGGTTCTTATTGTGAAAGTACGCAGTGTGTGTGTGTGTGTATGTGAGCACGCTCAAAGCGATGATGTCATTGTTCAGAGAGTACCCTCCTGCAGAAATTAATGAACAGAAAGAACAGAAACTGCAGGATGAATACAGATGGATAAAGACAGATGGATGAATACAGATGGATAAAGACAGATGGATGAAGATGGAGGAGTGACTCTCTGTTCAGATCTTGTGCAGAAACTCACCTTGCAGCTTCTCTTGTCTTCGTTCTCTGAAGATCTGCAGCTCAGCAGAAGCAGAAGCATACAGCAGCTGCTGCATGACATCACTCTGCAGCGCTCTGATTGGCCAGCACAGATACCGAGCTGTGATTGGTCCACAGAGGCTGAGGGAGACGAGGAGGAGGAAGATGAGGAGGAGGAATCCTCTTTATCAGAAGTTGATCCAAAACATTGTGACCCAAACAGACAGAAGCAGAATCCATCTCAGTTCTTCAGCAGTTCTTCCTCTGATTTTATCCTCAAATGGTGTCCCCGTTGAGTTTGTTGATTCCTATAAATATTTGGGTATCTTGGTCAACTCGCATGTCTCTTTTAAGCTTCATGTGGAAAACCTAGTAAAGAAACTGAAAGTTAAACTGTGTTTCTTTTTCAGAAACAGATCCTGTCTAACTCTGAATGCTAGGAAACGCCTTGTATCTGTGACTTTCCTTCCCTCCATTGATTACGGTGACATTATTTACATGAACGCTCCTACAAGAACCCTGCAGATGTTGGATGCTGTCTATCATGGTGCACTAAGATTCATAACTGGCTGTGATTGTCGTACCCACCACTGCACCCTGTATTCACTGGTTAACTGGACATCACTAACTTCATGCAGACTCTCTCACTGGTACATTTTCATCTTTAAATCACTTCTTGGTCTGCTGCCTTCATACATCTCCTCCTACATGTCTCTGTGTGAGTGCAGCTACAGCGTGCGCTCTCAGGACATTATTACCTGCAGTGTTCCACATCAGTGAGGACTGAACTAGACAAAAGGGCCTTCTCTTATTCCGCTCCTGTTTCCTGGAATATCTTACATAAAGATCTGAAGCTCTCGACCTTGACCTCTCTAAGTGACTTTAAACATCTGCTAAGTTCCTGGAAAAACCAACACAGATGTTCCTGTTTTTAGTTTTCTACACCTCCTTACGACCCAGCTGTTTTTGTTTCATTTTTAATATAATTTTCTTCCATTTATTTTTTCAATTTATATGCTTTCTTTTATGATTGTCCACTGTTGCCCTGAGTCCCCGAGGCTCAATGGGACTAACCTGTCTGAATAAAAGTTGAACGTCTCTCACCAGGACTAACTATAAGAACGTCCTGAAGGAAAGAAGAACGTTCTCGTGTTTACCTGAAGATGAAAGAACATGTTTCGTTTTTTATTTGCAGCTTTCGTACAGACAGAACCGTCTCTGAAAACCCATTCAGAACCAGAACCTCCTTACCCCCCAAAATGAAGTTTAATGTAATATTAATCAAATAAGTTTAAAACTATAAATCAGCTGGACAAAACATCCAACAGGAGGATCAGCTGCTGTTGATCAGTTTATTGTTTTGAAAACAAACAAACAAACACCAGAGGCCAAAGTGATGAACGCCTGCTGCTGTAGAGCCCCATGATGCTCAGCAACCCTCAGCCGCTGCAGCAGGGCTTTCCTGTGAGTGTGAGGACCGTCTGACAGCTGATTGGCTGAGAAACGGTGCGCGTGTTTGTGTGTGCGCGCGCTGATGCAGTGAGGAGAGAAATGCTCACATCCAAGCAATGATGTCACCCACAGCCAATCAGCTGAAGGTTCTCAGAGCCACACACCTCCTCAGTGTGTGTGTGTGTGATTGTGTGTGTGTGTGTGTGTGTGCGTGCGTGCGTGCGTGTGTGTGTATGTGTGTGTGAGAGAGAGAGAAAGAGAGAAGGGACAGAAACAAGACAGGTTAGGTGACACAGTGGAGCAGTGGTTATAACTGTTGATGCACAGCAAGGATCTCTTCCTAGTTCAAAGGTAAATGTGCATGTTTTACGTGCACGTGTGGGTTTCCTCCCACAGATTGAAAACATGCATGGATTAATAGATCGATGTATGTCCCAAGGTGTGGAAGAGAGTGAACGGTTGTTTGTCTCGTTTGTCTCAATCTGTCCCTGAAATGGACAGGAGACATGTCCAATGTGTCCCCACTTCTCCTCCTGCCTGCTGGAGAGAAGAACCGGCTCCCTGTGGTCCTGAGCACAACAAGAGTTAATTAACAAAATGGATGATCTAAACAGAACGGGGGGCTGGAGCTCCTGCAGGACAAACAGCTGCAGAAACTGAAGATGACATCATCTGTAAGGTGATGTCATCATCTATGAGCTCATGATCCAGTCATATTAGTTCTTAGTTCATATCTTAGATTTTATTACGTTTATTATCTTATTACTGTTTTTTTTTCTTTTACATGTTATTGTTGAATGTAACTGGGACCCTGTGTACGTTATTTCGTTCCACCACATGTACCACATGAGATGCGTATGAAAAATAAAGAAACTTAGCAACACACAGAACCAATGCCCCCCAGTCGAACCCCACACCTGTCAGAACTAGAACCTGTCAAAGCTGTCTGAATGGATCAGGATTCCAGAACCTTTAGAACCACCAGCAGGCAGCATTAACACCACTGAGACCAGAACCATCATCATACAGCACTGGTTCTGCTACGTGGTGCTGGGAACTCTCAGAACGCTGTGTGAACTTTTTGGACTGGAAGATAATTGTTGTACTGGCAGAAACTGGGGCGGCGGTTCCACTCTGTGCTTTAGGTCTGTGTTGGCGAGGAGTTGTGACTGTCTGTGGTTCTGTGGTTCTGTTCGTGTCTGCGGCCCACTCAGCACAAACATTAGATGGCCATGTGGGCTGAAGTGACTCACTTGCACTGCTGGAGGGGAGCAGGTTCTGAACAGGCCCAACAGCGCCACCTGAAGGCCAGCACCTGCACAACCAAAGAGCTGATCGTTTCTTCAAGCTGGTTTTCATGTAAATAAAATTCAGGAGAATATTTCAAACAGTGCTTGATTTTCATACATATGTAAAAACACATTTTGGTGAAACTTCATCTACTTTGTAAAAAACAAACTTATTTTTAGCCTAAACACAAATAATTTATTTTCCTGTTGGTTGGAGTTTAATCAACCATCTTGTATGTCTCATTTTCTGGCCTGGGGACACAAATTTATAATTTTACAGGATGTCTTGGATGCTGTCATGTATACAGCTTGGCCCATGGACACCATGGCCCAAAGTGTTCTGTTTCACCTTTGACATGGTAAACTTCTCTAAATGGACAGGTGCAGTGAATAAAATCCTTTGTTCTCTGTTCAGTTCAATTTCAATTTATTTATAAAGCAGAAAGTCACAACAGAAGTCATATCAGGACACTGAAAAAAAACAACATTCCCATACATTATAAAAAACAATTAATAAACATGTATTTTTCTAAGGAGGCCAGCAGACTCACTGAATCTTCACTTTGTCGCAGTCTCCCATCCTAAGCAAGCACAATGGCAACAGTGGAAAGACAAAACTCCCTTTTAACAGGAAGAAACCTCCTCCTTTAAACCTCCAGCAGTGCAGGCTCAGGAAAAGCAGCCATCTTTGACCGGCTGGGTTTGAGAGGACAGGAAGGAGGAACAGACACAGAATGACAGGTCCAGATGTACTTTCTATAGGAGGAAAGACAAAAACACATGTTAAGATAGAAATAATTACAAATACAAACAGGTAGAGCAGAGTAAGTAAAGACAACAGCAAAGAGAGAACGTGTGATCAGCTTGTCCTCCAGCAGTCTAAGCCTATAGCAGCATAACTAAGGGATAGCTCAGGAAACCCAAACCAACCCTAATTATAAATTAAGCAAAAAGGAAAGTCTTACGCCCAGTCTTAAAACTGGAAAATTTGTCAGCCTCACAGACAGAAACTGGAAGTTGGTTCCATAAGAGAGGAGCCTGATAACTGAAAGATCTTTCTCCTATTCTGTTTTTAGAAACTCTAGGAACCACAAGTAAACCTACAGTCAGAGAGTGGAGTGCTCTGTTGGGAAAATAGGGAACAATAAGATCTGTAATATGTGATGGAGCTAGGTTGTTGAGAGCTTTGTAGGTTAGAAGTAAGATTTTGAATTATTTTCATTGTTATGCTGATGACACACAATTATATTAGTCCATTAAACCCAATGAATCCAATCAGCTACTTAGACTACAAGCATGTCTTAAAGACATAAAAACCTGGATGACCCTTAATTTTCTCCTGTTGAACACAGACAAGACTGGGGTTTTGGTTTTTGGACCTGAGCACCTTAGGAATTAATTTTTCAGTATTTCTCCCTCTTTAGATAGCATTAATCTGTCCTCCAGCTCTAATGTTAAAAATCTTGGTGTTATTTTTGATCAGGACATGTCTTTTATCCCCCACATTAAAAACGTTACTAGAACTGCCTTCTTCCACCTGCGTAATATCACTAAAATTAGAAACATCTTATCTAAAAATGATGCAGAAAAACTGGTCCATGCATTTGTCACATCTAGACTGGACTATTGCAATGGTTTATTATCTGGGTGTCCAAATATGTCTTTAAAACGTCTTCAGTTGATCCAAAATGCTGATGCCAGAGTCTTAACTGGAGTTAGGGTCGGCTTGGGTTTCCTGAGCTGTCCCTTAGTTATGCTGCTATAGGCTTAGACTGCTAAAGGACAAACTGACCACAATTTTCACTCTACTACTGTCTTTACTTACTCTGCTCAACTTGTTTTGTATTTGTAATTATTTTTTCTATCCTTAACATGTGTGTTTTTTGTCTTTCAGATACACCTGGACCTATACCTGGACCTACCATTCTGTGTTCATCTGTCTCTCCTTCCTGTCCTCTCAAACCAGCCGGTCAAAGCAGATGGCCGCTTGTCCTGAGCCTGGTTCTGCTGGAGGTTTCTTCCTTTTTAAAGGGAGTTTTTCCTTCCACTGTTGCCACTGTGCTTGCTCAGGATGGGAGACTGCAACGAAGCCAAGATTTAACTTGTCTGCTGGATTACTTAGATAGAGAACTTCACTAATTGGCTTTTATGTATGTGAATGTTCCTGTAAAGTGCCCTGAGACAACTTTATTGTGATTTGGCGCTATATAAATAAACTGAATTGAATTGAATTATTCTGGTTTTGGCAGGGAGCCAATGGAGAGAAGCTAAAACTGGAGATCTCTCTTAC